TTTTTATTTCAGAAAAGAATTTTGCTGAGTTCCTGTATAACTTTCTGCTGTTGCTTATTTATTATCAATGCTATTAATTCATACATTTCAGCTGAGCTAGTGGAAAAGAATTCAGCTCTGAGTTCCTCTATAAATTTCTGCTGCTGCTTATTTAGTATTGACAGTATTAATTCATACATTTGAGGGGAGCTAGTGTCCTCTGCACTTGTTCTGGGCGCGTATTGGGTTTCCTCCATATTTTTCTACATTTGATTCTTTACTTTAGATGCTATTAATTTTGGGATTTCTTTTTTCATTTCCAATCTGAGTTCCTGTATACCTTTCTGCAGTTGTTTCTTTATTTTAGAAGCTGTTAATACATTGATTTCAGCTGTGTTGTTCCTAATTTGTTCTGTGTTTTTTTTTTAATTTTTTAAAGTTTATTTATTTTGTGTGTGTGTGTGTGTGTGTGTGTGTGTGTGTGTGTGTGTATGTGGCCAGCTCTGTGTTAGTGTCCTCTGCACTTATTTTGGGTAGGCTTGGGGTCTGAGATTGCATTTTCCTCCTTCTCATTGTCATTTTGTGTAGCACTGTCTTCTGACCTTTGTTGTAGAGCTTTGGTGCAGTTATAACCTTAGCACCTACTGAAGTTCAGGTGCAGATCTACAAAGTTTGGATTTATCCAGCTGCACCTGGCTTGAGTCTGGCTGCTGTGCTCAGCTCTTTCCTGCTGCCGCCCTTGGGCATGAACCTGTTGTGCCCCTCTGGCAAGATGTTCTGCTTCTGGACTAGCTGGGTGGTTCTGTCCCCTACTCTTTCTGCAGGGATTGCAGCTGCAGGGTTTTTCCCCAGGCTTGTATGCCAGGCCTGAGCTGAGTCTGGAGGGGACAAGATGGAGTAGGGGGGAGAGGAAACTCTCCCACACACTCACCAGGCCTGGGCTAGGACTGGATTTGGGGGTTCCCGGAATGCTGCAGAAATTCCTACTCAGCCGGTGGGGTGGGTGGGCGCTGGGGAGTGGGGGAGGGCCCCCAAGGAGGTGGAAGAGGGTCTCACCCAGGCTGTGCCTGGGCTTGGACAGGCAGGTCCTGCTGGTGCAGGGTAGCTGGAAGCTCTTCCACACACTGGGCCTGGGCTAGGATGAATCTGGGGGTCCCTAGAATGGGGCAGAAATTCTCACTCGGTGGTGGGGTGGGGGGTGCTGTGGACTGGTGGGGGGGTCCCAATGGGGTGGAAGAGGTTCTTACCCACGATGTGCCTGGGCTTGGACTGGCAGGTTCTGCTGGGACAGAGTAGCTGGTGCAGGGTAGACAGAAGCGCTCCCACATACTCACCGTCTTGGGCTCGGACTGGAATTGGGGGTCTCTAGAACTCAGCAGGAATTCTCACTTGGCGGGCGGGGTGGGGGAGTGCTGCGGAGTGGTGAGTGGGTCTCAAGGGTGTGGAAGAGGGTCTCACCCATGCTGCGCCTGGCCTGGGACTGGCAGGTCCCGCCAGCTCAGGGTAGATGGAAGCTCTCCCATACACTCACCTGGCCTGGGCTAGGACTGGATCTGGGGGTTCCCAGAATGAGGCAGAAATTCCTACTCAGTGGGTGCCCCGGGGGGGTCTTTAATTTCCTTTGAGAGTTCTTTTAGAGTACCTATCTATAATGACTCTAGGGCTGGTGAGATAGCTCAGCAGCCTAATGCCTGCTTAAGCAAGCTTAGACAAGTGCAGGGTCCACTGTTCGATCCCTGGTAGCACATGCGGAGCCAGCCCCGCTCCCATGGTAGGCTGAGCCAGCCAGAGTCCTGGCATGGTGGTGCATGTCTGCAATCGCTGGGGAGGCTGAAAGCAGGAGGATCACGATGAGTCTGAACTCAGTCTCATGGTGATCCTCCTGCAACAACCAAATACATTTTTTAAAAAATGACTCTCCCTTTCATAAATTCTCATTAAGAAACCCAATTAATTTTTTAATGTATTTTAAAGAATACAAAACATTAAAAAAATTAGAAATGATACGAAATTTCACTAAACTAAGTAATAGGAATTCAATAATGGTTGTTGTATTGCTTGATTTTATCCTCAAATTAGTTGTTTATATTATCAGACATAAGCATGCAAAGCCGGTTAAAAAACAAAACAAAATAAACATCAACAAAAAGGAAATTTATAAGAAATTAAAAAGAAAAAAGAAGAGTAAGAAAAATATTTTAAGCATTAACTGCTCCTTTCTGGAGACCGGCAGATATCGGCGGTTTAATTACGCAATTATCCTGCGTATATACATAGGTGTATCTTTTTCACTTCTTTCTTTTATCCTTTTGCTCATCCCAGTTTCCCTGCCTGTTGCACACATTCTTTCCCTTTCACGGTATTGTTGTATCTTTCAGATTTTATTTACTCTTTCAGGTTCTCACACTAGCAAGATAGTACGCAGCTTGCACATGCGGAGAAAGCCCAATTTCAGTTGTATTCATTGCGCTAATCGGCATCTCCTGGCAGCTTTGTGGCCTTCGCAGCCTGCGCGTTTGCTGGTTGCAGCCTCCCCTCTGTCAGCGGCTTCTGAAGCGTGGCCCCTTCCCTGTACGGCTCGCTGCTGGTTCTCTAGTAGCCAGTGCAGGCCCCTTAGTAGGTTCTTAATACGTGCGCATTTAATGAATACACAGAGAAAAGGCTTTCCAGCGAAGAAAACGAGTTACGTGTCTTCCCCTGTTATGTCCACCGCAGAACTGAACAGGGCTGGAAAATGGCGTGACTCTGACCCCACGTGCTCACTTCCTTGCACGCCCGCGCGACGGGCAGAGCTCGGTTCCGCTGGAAAGCGCAGGGCTGCGCAGCCTGGATAGCGTCTCCCCGCTGAGGGTTGCGTGACAGGCACCCGCTTGCTCTGAGCGACCCTCGAGGCAGAGGCCCTCGTGCCCGAGTCCTGAGGGGCGGCGGGGTCCGAGGATGAAGGGCTCCTCCTGCCTGGTGGAGCGCGGGGCTGGGCTTGAATGTCCCCCGAGCCCCGTCGTGGGTCTCCCAGGACGCCCCTGGACGCCCCGCACGCCGCTGTGGGAGTCCTGACCCCTCCGCGAGCGGCTGCAGGCGCCACCGGGCCTCTGAACTGCGGGCTCCGTCGTGCGTTTTGCAGAGCGCTCCATGCGCGGTCCAGGCACTGCGGACGCCAGTCTCCGCAACTCCCAGCGCCTGCAGGCCTGCTCCGAGCACTTGCCCCGCCGCGCTCGCGCACGTCCTGCCCACCTACTTTTCTTCCCTGCAAAATGGCGATGCTGTCCTCGGCCTCTCGTTGGTGGAGATTCGCAGCAAAGCTGAAAAAAAAAAAAAAAAAACAAATCCTTCCCTGTTAAAAGCGTCATGCAATTCTGATGAAAGCTGTCCTTCACGATAAAGTGGATTCTTACAATTCAGGTACGCACAGTGATCCTATTCGGCATGAGAGTTTGCGCTTGAATATTTCTACCTGGTTCCTCTTTGTTTTCTCAATCCCCTTCCCTCCCTTAAGCCCCTCTCCCACTCCTCAGTTACAAAGATTTGTTGCCATTTTATCTTCTGTTTATCATTTTTTCTTTTCCTTTCCTTGTTTTCCCTTTCCTTCCCTCTTCTTTGAATCAATTCTTCATGTTTCACAATCCCTGTTACGTACTTGGAACCTTATTTACCTTTTTGGTTTCTTACCCCAGAGAAACGCTGTGGTATTTATACATGTGTGACTGATTTATTTCACTTTAAGAATACGGTCTTAAGATACATTCACTTACCTGGAAATGTCTCAAGTTTATCTTCCTTTATGGCTGCGTAGTACTCCATTGCATTAAAAAAATCTTTTTTTATCCATTCCTCAGTTGATAGCATCTGAGTTGTTTTCAAGATTTAGCTAACAAACTGCTGCGATAAAGTGAGTGTTCACATTATCACTGGGGTGTGATGCTTTTAATTCTTCCAGGAAGGTTCCCAGAAGGAGAGCAGAGAGTCTCCACTCCCATCTACAGTGGAGAAGGATTCCTCTCTCTCCACATCGCCTCCTATGTTTGCTATTGATTCACTTCTTGATGACAGCCATTCTTTCTGGTGTGAGGAAAAAAATCTGTGTTGTTTTAACTTGCAAATATTAAATGACCAGTGATGTATAGAACATTTTTTAAAATGTATTTATTGCTATTTCTGTTTCTTCCTCCAAGAAATGTGTATTCATCTCAAATGTCCAATTTCAGATGAGTTCTTTAAATTTGGGAGTTTTAATTTTTTTCACTTCTTTATATGTTCTGTGTGACCCTTGTCTGTGAGACAAGCTACAGTTTTTCCTACTCTGTGGTTGTCTTTTCACTCTCTTGGTAATTTCTTTCCCTGTGAAAAATCTTTTTGGATGGGATGAAATCCCAGTTGTTGATTCTTGTACTATTTACTGTGCAGTCAGCATTTTGTTCCTGAAATCTTTGCGTACACTTGTGTCTTCCAGAGCTCCATGTATTTTCTCTTTTAGTAGGTTTCGTGTTTCTCTTTTAATGTGGATCTTTAATACATTATAATTTTACTTTAGTGCATGGTGATATACGTGGGTATAATTTTAGTCTTCGGCATGTGGAAAGCCAGTTCTTCCTGCACCATTTGTTAAAGAAGCTATCTTTCTTCCAGTGAATGTGTTTGACCACTTTGTCAAAGATAAAGTGGCTCAATCATAGGCAACAAAGGCAAGGCAGGGGGCATCACCCTTTCTGACTTGAAAGTATACCTCAAAGTTACTGTGATAAAATTACTTAATTTTATGGATCTTCTCTTGTTCTTGTCGCCATGTGCAAGGTGTGCCTGTGTTCATTTCTGTCCTTTAACAGAATTGTTACTAATATCCCTATTTTATGCAAGAAGAAGTGGAGGCACCGAGACATAAAACCACTCAGCCAGCCAGATTGTGAACCCAGCCTTGCTGCTGAGTTTACATCATTACCTGTCTTCCTCCTTGCTTCTCAATACAACTGCTGGGGGAGACATTGCGCTTGATATGATGAGCTGTTCTTTCCCTTTTTTCTCAACAGTAATCAAGAGATGTTTAAATTCTCCTCCCTGGAGGTTACCCACGCCGCCTTGGTGAATAAGTTGTGGCATTTCGGTGGTAATGAGAGGAGCCAGAGATTCATCGAGCGCTGTATCCGGAACTTCCCCAGCCTCTGTCTGCTAGGACATGAGGGGACCCCCGTGTCCTGGGCCCTGATGGACCACACTGGAGAGATGCGAATGGGAGGCACTGTGCCTGAGTACCAGGGCCTGGGCCTCGCATCTTATGTCATATTCACCCTTTCTGAGGCTCTAGTGGAACGTGAATTCCCTGTGTATAGCCACACAGACAAAACTAACAAAGCCATGCAGAAAGCAAATCGCAAGCTGGATCAGGTCACCATGCCCTGCAACTGGAACCAGTGGAACTGCATGCCCCTCTGAAGTGTGTCCTCAACACAAGACAGTCCTGGATGGTGATGATGTGGCTGGAGAAGGGGATGGAAAGAATAACTTGTAAGCACCAGGCAGTGATTTTGTTCTGGGAAGGCACTGAGTGGTCAGTGGGACTGCCGTGTTGCTGCACCCAAATTATACTGCTGGTAATTTCTCTTGCTGTGCAAAATCTTTTTAATAGGATAAAATCCCAGTTGTTGATCATTGTATTATTTCCTGTGCAAAATCTAAGATTCCATCTCACTCCAGAAAGAATGGTTATCATTAAGAAGTCAATCAATAGCAAATGCAGAAAGAGCTGCAGGCGAAAAGGACCCCTGCTTCACTGTTGGCGGGAGTGTGGACTGATGCAACCACTGTGCACACCAGTGTGGAGACACCTCAGAAAGCTAGGACTTTTCAGGCCAAGCAGCCCTGACATGGGCCACAACCCCAGAAGCCACCGCAGCTCACTGGAGTGGCCACTGCCTTGGTCCGCTGTCCCATCCTCTAGATCTCACTGCCACCATTAGTCTGCCGTGTGCTGCGATCATTCGGCCCCAGGAGCTCCTGTTCCACATGGATTATCGCCAGTAGAGAGACCTTCACTGTTTGCTGAGACGTGTTGTCCACCTTTGCATGTTATATAGTTTGTTTTTCTGTGATCCCTTTCTTCAGTTGTTCCAGTGCCCTGTCCCTTCTGTAGGGATGGAGAAGTGACTCCTGCTGACAGCGCTTTGATCTGCTGATGTGCCTAATAACCATGTCAGTGCATGAAAATGCTATCGTGAAAGCCATTATCTGTAGGCCTGATCTGTGCTGATGAAATAAAAACAAATCATGCTAAAGAGTTCACACATTTATATTGTATGACAGTATGATATGATACCTGAGAAATTAATTTTTTAAATAAAATTTGCTGTGCATATTTAATGTACACAGTAATGGGTTTTGAAATAAAAGTAGATAGAAAAGTAGTTACTATAATGAAACAAATTAAGCAGGGTAACATCTCACATAGTCACATGGCTTCTTTTCATCGTCACAGTAGCTAAAATCTTGCATGGTTAGTATAAATGGTGTGATTTCATCATGTTACGCAGCAGATCTCTAGACCTGTCCATCCTACACGTCAGCTACTTTGTCTCTTACTCTGACTTGCATCTCTGCCCCTCCTCACCTCCATCTTCATCTCTCTCTGCCTTTTTTTTTTTTTGTATTTTAGGGATGGGTCTACAGGTGTTCAGGGTCTCACTCTTAGATCAGACCCACAGTGATCCGCCTGTTTACAGCCTCCCAAGAGCTGGGATTACAGGCGCGCGCCACCACGCCCAGTCTCAATGGCCAGCTCAGCACGCCCTGGGGGCGGGGCCGGCCCAGCAGGCCAGGGGATGAACCCCAGCTGCTGTGCCTGCTTGCAGGTGCTTTAGTCTGCTGAGCTGTTTGGCCAGCCCTCCATCCTTATCTCTCATAACCACACTTTAGTTCTCCATCTCTGCAAATTTGAATTTTTTACAGATGCCATACATAAGTGCGATCATGCATATTTTCTCTCTCTGGATAATTCCACTCATCATAACATCTTCCACAGTCATCCGTTTCACAGTAAATGACGGGGGGGGGCATTAAAAACTACTCCCCCATTTGTCCCATTCCTCCCCCCAAAAAGACCAGTGCAGTTGTGTGTATGACGGTTATGGTGTGATGTCAACTGGACTGGTATTGGACTCTTCTTAGGCTTTGGAGGAAACACTTCTGGGGGAGTCTTGGGGACCATGGGGGACAGCCTTAAGCCCTGTCTCTGTTGCAGGATCCAAGCGATCAGAGAGAACAGCAGCACAACAGGAGCATTTGTTAGGGGCCCAGCTGCGTCAGAGAGAACTCTCGTCCACAATGGCTGAGCATCAAAGAGAGGCGAGGCTGCAGCTTCATGCATTTGGTCAAGGGGGGGGGTCATCTTTAGCCCGGAACTTACAGACATGCTGACACGAAGTAGGCAAAGAGAGCAGTATCTTTATTTAGCCTGTAAGAAGACACGTGCAGGGTGTCACAGGACTCTGCCTGTGGTGCTTGTGGGAGCCCACTTGGCTCCTCCACTTGCACTGCTGGAAGGAGGGCAGATGCCGGGATGCCACAGGTCTTGTGTACAGGTACAAGGCTGCCAATATGGTCCTGTAACAGCAAGGAACTGTAGCCGCAGCGGAGGGGACTCTTCGTGCCAGGGAAGCCTGCTTTGTTCAAGTGCCACTTCATCTCTAGCTGTCACCCCTTCCCAGGAGCCCTGGTCTATGCTGGCTCTCGGTTGCAAAAATGTGGGCAGCTCTGTTGCACTGGGCCCTTCCGGCGTGACGCTTTTCTCAGAGCCAGACAACTGCAGGCTACGTCACCCTGAACTGTGGGCCACATTGCGTGTCTCCTCCTTAAATTCATGGGTGTCAGGCATTGGGTCTCAGCAATGGACAAACTGAGTAACGCAGAGTTAGTACTGAGAAGGGGGCAATTGCCGTGAATGTGTCTGACCACATGATTTAGCATGTGAACTGGCTAGTAAGAGGAATTCGGAATGGTTCTGCGATGTGGGCTAGAGAAGCCCCTGAATGCGCCAGACAGAGCTCAGCGGGGGATTCTCACCAGAGCCAGCAGGCCCAAATGCTGGTGGAGACTTGCACAGTAAGTTGCGCTGTGGAAGGTGCAGCTGGGAACGAAGACCCATGTGGAAGTTGGACGAGAGGCCTTGCTGTACTTGGGCAGGAAGTTTGTCTATGTTTTGCCTGCGTCCCCAGACTTTGCTGAGGTTAGTTTTCTCTTGTAGCCAAGACAAGATTCTTGACCCCTAAAGTTAGAGGAGGAAAAGTTTACTGGGCTCACTGTTTTTAGCAGCTTCAGTTCATAGTCATTTGGTCCCAAGTTAAGGAGGCAGGGCAGGAGTGCATCCCAGAGGGGAAACCATCCATGGCAGGGCAGGCAGAAGGCAGTGAGGCTGCAAGCAGCAAAACCACATGCAACAAGCTACAAACAGCGGCTCTCTGCCTGTCCCACATTTCTCTCCCAGGCTGCCCACCTCAGGGCAGTGAGCAGTAACAACCAGGTTGGGCAGCCTTTCTAGAAGTATGTTCTGCCACAATCCTAACCTCTGCAGTGTACCAGGAAGCAAAAGCAATCATGTCCTGATCCCAGACTCTCACACTGTGGATCCAGACACTCTCAGAAAGCCTCCCTTGGGTCCACATGACACTTTGGGGCAGATCTGGGTAGAATGCACAACATGGACTAAAAAGCCTGGTGCAGAAAATTTCAACACAGCCTAAAATTCAGGCTGTGGCATGCATATGTTGGGTGCTTTCAGCAAGGATTATCCTGACAGTGGGGTGGGTGGGTGGGACGTCAGAACAAAGAATTTTGGAGAAACTTAAATCTTGGCTCAAGATCTTGTGTGAAGATTTGGGCCAAAGGAGGTATGGTTATACAAGCACTTGGCACCATTAGAAGGAAATAAGCCCTTCGTACAGGAATAAGAGGAAAGATATCACAAGCGCATTGTATGAATCAGCAAACACAAACACGCCTCACAGTGGGCGGGGTGAAGACACAGCTTATCTTCAAAAAAAGTGCACCTAGTGGCTTCTCCCACTCCATATAAGTCACATCCTCATTTGCATGTGTAAGCAGACTGACCGGAGACTGGATCGTGGGCATCAGGCCTCATCTGTATCTCTCCCACTGCCTTGTTTTTATCTCAAATAGTAGAAAGCAGGCAGAAGAATAAGGCATCTCTTGTGCAATCTGACCTTTCTTCCAGTTTTTTTCTTGCTGATTTTATGCAGGACCTGTGAGGACAAAGGGCAATGTGATATTTGGGAAAGATAAGTCCAGGGAGCACACACCAGCCCTCCAACTGCAGAGCCAGCGCCTTCCATAGGAGACCATGACAGGAGGGGGAAAGCCGAAAGCTTGAAAATACTGCCAGCCCGGTGCGAAGTCCATGTTCCAAATTTGGCTCAGCGGTCCTGTGGAGGCACACCAGACTCACTTGCTCTTCAGGGTTCTGCTGAGCGGCTGCACCAGCGTGACATTTCGTCTCCCAGAAGTCAGGTAAGCATGTCGTGGGAAAAAGGATAACTTCAGTGTAAGAAAGAGATACCACGTGCCTGCGCATGTCATATGCATATTCCGTTAAAGCCTTAGAACTGCGCCATCCTGCTAGATTATATTCTATATTATTGTTCCTGTTTCTGGAGATTGGGATTTTGCTTAGCACTTGTAGTGTCTGTGTGTCTTTATGAACTTCTTTTTTTTCCTTTTGGAGTTTTCTTTCGATTTGTTTCCATTTCTAGAATGGCAGGGGTAGATATTCTGAGGTTCATGTAGAAGTGTGGTGGGTGCTCCATGCTGCTGGCTGTAGATGGAGTGTCAGGTTCTCTGAGAAACCTCACTCCTCTGTTCACGGGGCACTGTGCTTGGCTGTTTGTGTGCACATCATAGGGGACAAAGACAACAAATCCCAAGCTGTGCAGTTCAAGAAATGCAAGGAGCATGGCTTCCCCTGGATTTAATGTCAAACCATGTCCCCGTATCTTATGCTCACACACCAGCCCCATGCAGCCCATGGAGCCCAGGTTGGGCTCTCAGAGGAGATGAGTTTGGGGCCCAGGAAGCTGAAGGCAACAGAGAACAAGGCAGCAGAAGCCAACACCTCAGAGCTCAGCAGCTGTTCAGTGGAAACTTCTAGGCAAAAGCCAGCAGAACAACCCTGGAACCCAACACAGTTGGGGGTGTTGGCTGTCATGGGTAAGGAAGCTGCATTCCGTGGGGGAGGCATTCACACAGAGGGTGTAGGAAATTGTTCAGTTAGTGATGTGGGGGAGAATTCAAGGCTTGGATCCTGGCAGAAAGCAGGCATCAACTCCTGTCAGTGGAGTGGGAGGGCATCAGAGGGGGGCACAGGGGACCAACAACAGTCACGAGTGGATGGGGCGAGTGATGCTTGGTCTTTTTGCAGGCTTTTCTTCTGCTTTTGTCTATATGTAAACATGAGCTCCTTCAGGTAAGTGGACCGCAGGGCAGGCAGCGGCAGAAAGGCAGATAAACATAGTAAGGAAGGATTTCTCCTATTATTTGCAGTCTGAAATGTACAAGGACTTGAGTCTATCAGTAAGCCTCCCTGACTGTTCAATAATAAAAGCCAGCCTCATTCGTGCAAAAGACTGTTTCTTATCCACCACTGAATTGCCTAGGCACCTTTGCAGGAAATGCATTAATAAAAATTATCCAGTCTCCTCTGGGCTTCTCCTGTGTTCTAACGATCTATTTATCTGTGCTTATACCAATATCGCTGTCTTGATTACTATACGTTTCTGGTAAGCCTTATAGTCTGGTGCATTACAATTCAGTGGCACTTCCCATAAATAAGATCTAGAGTGTCTTGTGACTTGTTTGATTGGCATTGTGAGAAACATCACCTGCACAATAATGAATCGTCTGCTTTTCCTCATCTGCGTGTCACTGTGGGTAGTCTCCCCAGTTGAGCCTTTTAGTTCCTTCATCTGTTCTTCTTTATTGTTTAATCCACATCCTGTTAATCTCATCCTGTTTATTTTCACTTCTGTATAGCCTATCTTGCTCTTTTCAACATAATTTAAGTTACAGGCCTAATCATGTTTAGTTTAATGTTTTATGTCTTTCTCTCTGTCTAGCTGCACTTTGATCTCGCCAAACTAATTTCTTTGCGCTCAAGAGGGCAAGAGACTGCCCTGGCCGGGCTCGCTAGCTGCATCCTGGATGTGCCTGAGGACAGGAGGCTGGTGCATGCTCAACAGTCACTTGAAACTATTTGTTTATTTTTTGTGTTTATGCAGATTGAACCAAGGACCTGCACATGTTAAGCGAGGGCTATACCATGAGCCACATTCTCAAACTTATTCTCCCTTTTCTCAGAGGTTACAGTCCTGGGTATCATAACTTACGAGATCAGTCATTATTGCAGGTGGAAAGATAAATTCAGGTCCTGTTATCTCAGCTGGAAGCAATATTCTCCTCTTTGCCTTTAGAAATCACAGGGTCACCCATTTCTGGCTCAGGGCCAGGCTGCGTGCAGCACCAGGCACTTTCTCCCTGAGGTCCCTTCGAAGCTTCTTTTCTGTCCTCCAGATGTCACATGTGCATGACAGCTCACGGGAACGCAGGCCCCTCTCTTTCCTTTGTATGTGGTTGGGATGTTGTGGATTTAGAAGCCGAATTTGATTCAGTGAGTTGGATTTGCAAACATGGTGTTTTTACATCACCTAGTGATGCTGCGTAGTGCGCTGGAGCTGAGAGGGGCCGAGAGGCAAAGCCAGTCTCCAAAAAAGTGTGCGGCCCTGTGATGGGACAGGAGCACCAGCAGGGACCACGACTTGGCTATTTTAACTTACAGAAAGACAGTTGAATGCCCTGCAGGGAAATAAATGCTCGCGCACATCATGCGCCACTCGGCATAGTAACCCAAGGGAGCAAAAAGAAGGAAAGGGGAGAGTGCTAGAAAGATCACTAATGTGCTCAGTGCTCTTCCTGGGACTAATATGCAGCCCACGGTGTGTATCACTCATTTAGTGCTCATAAAAATCATGTCAGATAATGCGTTGTCTCATCTGTCTCTGGGGAAACAAAGGCCTGGAGGGGCTAAGCAACTTCTCCAGAGTTGTCCGGCCTCTTGCTGGAAACCCCAGCAGGATGACTGAGCAGAGCAGTTCATGAGGTGTGACCTCAAATGTGCTTGTTCAGATAAGGTGCAGCGAATGGTTAGAATTCATCCAAGCCTAAGAGGTAACTGGAAACTTCAGAGAGAGAGACCAGACCTACATGTCTTCCACCAGTCTTGCCTCTCTGCAGAGCTGTTGAGGGTTTCAATGAGGAGACCCTGAAGAAAGGCTTGAGCGCCCCTGTAGAACTTGCTACATTGGTTTCTGAGCCTCCTCCTGCAGCTCTTCTGATTCCTGGATGCTTCTCGGTTATCTCTCTAGGCTGAGGTGTTCTCCAAGATGCTCCAAGTACAAGGCGCACAGATGCTGCAGATGCTGGAGAAGTCCTTGGTTAAGAGCATCCCAGAGTCCTTAAAGGTGACAAAGAGACCTGCTGAGGGGAGAAGGGAGACCTGCTGTGGAAGAGGAGGACACACAGCTGTCTTGAGCCAGGCATTGCTTTATATTTCTCCCATTTCATTTGTGCTATAGCTCTGCAAGATATTTTGCCACTGTGCCCACTTCACTGAAGGGGAAGTGGAGGCCCAGGGAGAAGTGGAGGCCCGGTCATCTGCCCAGTATCTCCCTGAGAGTGAGCGGCAGCCCCGAGGCATGAGCCTGGAGCACCCGGGCAGAGCACCGCCTCCTGTGCTGTGCTGACAGAAAATGAACTGCTTGCTTCTTTTCAAGGAATGTTTAATAATAACCTTTGAAATTTGTGCAGCACTTTCCTGGAAAATGAGCTCAGATCACCTGTTAATGTTTAATTTGTGTACTTTTGAAGAACATTTGCCAGGTGAGAGGTTAGCTATCAGGTGTCTCTTTGGGGACACTAGCAGATCAATTTCTATTTTGAGTGAAACATTTTGGTTTCCCAATGTTTCTGAACAGAATCCCTGTCAGGTTATTTTGGTACACTTCATATCCTTGTACCATTGACTGGAAATCTTAGGATTAAGTGAAACCCATGCACACAAATATTTGCATTTAGAACTGTGCAGGAGGGGGCTGGGGAGATGGCTCAGTAGAATAAGTGCTTCCCTGGCAAGCACAAGGGCCTGAGTTCAATCCCTGGTTCTGCCAATTAAAAGGAAAAAAAAAAAAAAAAGAACTGTGCAGGAACAACTCCAATTACACATTCAGATATGTACTCTTAGTTTTCTGCAAATTTGTACATTTGGGCTCTAGATCATCACACTCGTGTGTGTGTGTGTGTGTGTGTGTGTGTGTGTGTGTCTTTCTAGAGCAAAATCATTCCTACATTTGTATTCCTTTATAAGACATTTATATGGCATTCTTATAAAATGTTATATATAATTCCTATATAAGATTTTAGGTAAGAGGAATTTATTAAGCTTCATTCTCTAACAGACTTGTTACTCCTTTATTCCAAAGAAAATGTTGCGTTATTTTCATTTGTAGGTCGTATGATTTTATTTATTCAGTAGAAATAGTTTAATGAGGCACTCACATCAACTGCTCTAAAACTAGAGTCATCTACTTTGGTAGACGCCGCTGATGTGAATCAGTATTGCGTGCCGTTGAACCACTTCCATCGCGAACACTCGCGATCCAGGCAAATCCTGAGAAGATAGCTCACTTTTCTTGGATCTTATGCCAGAGAGACTCTCTAGTGACAGTATCCTGAGCTATTTCATGGGATTATTTTAAAAAGTTCTCCAGTCTCATAGCTTTTATTCAGTGTTCTGTGATATAGTATTTTCCAATTTATATTTCTCCTTCTCCCTTGTGGTAAGTGGATTTTTTGAGAATACTCGTGGCGATTCCCAGCGTCTTTCCGAGGAGCGCTTCCGCAGTGCGGCGGAGCCCGTCTGTGCTTGGTTTTCAGGAAGGTGGGCGCTGGTCTTTGCACCCCGAACTGAGGGCGTGCAGTTTTCTCTTGTAGCGTGTGTGTGCTGGGTAGTTTTCATAGAGGTTTCCTTAGAACTCACAATTGTACAACACCTACTTGAGGCTCAGCTGAGAAGATAGCTTCACTCTTCTAAATACTAGATATTAAATGTAGTTTATTAAAGTTATCAACTACGACTGATTCAAATTATAGTAATTTCTGTATGTTTTGCTCACTTTGTTCTGAGTGCAGAAGAAAATAATGCAATAGAAAAAATAGTTTAATTAGAGCTTAGTTGAATTAATTTGAACTAGCTTTAATTACCTTACCAACAGTGCATATCTTCTCTTTCTCAGCACTAGTTCATGAGGGGCCAGCAGGCACTGTTTTCATCATGGGGATTATGACAATTCACACCCCGTGGGTGTTTGGTCGCTGCATGTGTTCACGCTGGCACCTGAAGAGCCTTCGTGTTTGTAGCTTCCATGAGCTCCGCGATGGTTTCCACCACTGCGCTCCTCAGTCTCAGACCCGCGCGGCCCACGGGTGTGCCCGTCCGCATGCGCACTCTCTTCTCTCTCTTCGCCCAACCCCACAGCCCGCACAGCACGGCAGGGGTGGGAGCGCAGGCCTGGAGCGGGCCGCCAGAGCCCAAGAGTGTTCCCCTGAGCACTAGGTGACGCCTCGGCTAGCTGATAGGCGTTCATTGACTCTCTAGAGGGTGTGTGGAAATATGGCTGAAGGTGTTTTAAACATGTATATGACCTCTGAGTCAGAAATTACCCTTTTGGATAGTCTAAGAAAATGCTAGGTACCCATGCAAAGGCTTTTATCCAAACACACTGTAGAAGGAATTATTTGGTAAAGTGAGAAGCAAAACACATTGAAATGGTCACTGACTGCTAAGTCACTAAGTGATCTGTGACACGTCCGCATGGTGGGATCATGTTCGGCCATCAGGAAGAAAGCAAAAATGAATTTTTATGTTTACTTACATAGAAATAACCCATAATATGTTTTGTGGGAAAAATAACAACTAGCATTCATTTTATCTTTATAAAGTTTTTCACTGTGCCTGAATAGAAGAAAATCAGGAAAAATAGAATATTAAATTCCATAATAAGGAATGGTGCTCCTACAATCATTAACTTATGTTCCTGAATACTCTATGATTATGATCCATACTTGATGGAAAGAAAGGTAAGCCCTAAAACTGAGTTTTCAAAAGAAAAGAAGAACATGGAGGATGCTGACCTAAAAAGTTCTCCACTGGGCTCTTTTCCATCGTACAGTGCCACAGTTCCATAGAAATGGTCCCCGTCCTGCTCAGGCAAGAGTTCTGTCACTGGCTCCTACCAACCCGCCTTTCTCTTCCTTGGAGTCTTGCAGGTTTATGGGACTGTCTTTCACATGAACCACGGGAATCCATTCAATCTGAAAGCCCTGGTGGACAAGTGGCCCGATTTTAGCACAGTGGTTATCCGCCCTCAAGAACAAGTAAGTGCCCGAGGTGGAGCGGCACTGTGGTTTCACCACAGTGAAACCTAGACATGCAGAGATGAGCCGCCACGGTGCTTACACGTCCCTGAACTTAGTAAATTCATATCCTGGAAGAAAAGATGAGCCAGCATTTGCCACCTAGTGTGAACTGTGAAAGAAAAGGACATGTACAAGCCACAGAAAGAGTCCAAGTAAAACATGATTAAGCTACGGCGGTTGGAGCTGGGGATTTCAGGATAATGCTGTAGGTTTCATTTTAATAGCAGGCCGAGGAGGGGAGGGATAAATTCTAAAAATAGAAAGGTATGCAGTAGCAATTTAGGTAGATGAGCTCTAACGAGCTAAATTACACTGCTAGAATTTACTGTTTCTCCATATTTTCTCAGGGAAAAACTTGAAATTAATGAAACAAAAGAGTTATTACTTCACAGATTAAAGTTCATAAATTAAAAAATTAAAGTATGAGGTGGAATGATAAGGCAGAGTACATTTCTCCAGCAATATTTTCCCCATAGAAATACCAGTTTGAACAATTACATATCCATGCACAAAATTATCAGGTGAGTGAAGAAAACCAAGTGAAAAATCCCAGTAGCTCGTTATAGCGCAATCATAGAAGACCACACTGAAATGATATGAAGGACACTGCAACCCTAGCGTGATGCAATGCAGCTCTACTTGGGGAGGTAAAGAAAGGGAAAGACAAGATTTGCTTCAGAACTGAGTACTGAGCCCAACACACACACACACACACACACACGCACGCACACACACATGCACACACACTAGTGTTGGGTAGAACTCAGTGCCTACAAATTCAGGGCAGACACCCACCCAATGAGCTTCCAGATCTGCCCTGGTAGCCTGCGGCATCTCAGGACCCTGGGCTTCAGGCTTAGGTGGTGGACTCATTCCCCAACTCATATCAGCACTCCATTGGTCTCAGACCCCCGTGCTGGGCAGCCTGCAGGGGAAGAGGGACCTCAGAGGGCTCTGGGTTGCTGGTTTTCTGCAGGGCATCACTAAATGTGGTTGTTCTGGGCTACAAGTGCTCTCCACACCATGACCCATGCAACCACCTTGGGATTTCTGACCAGATCAGAACCTCTGGGGACTTATCTGACCTAGTGCACTCTGCAAAGACAGTGAGAGACAGAGTCAACCCAAGCGATCATCGATGGATGGGTGGAGTTTTAGAATGTGATACATAAAGAAATGGCATCCTGCCTAGCAATAAAAATAAGGGAATCTTGCCATTTGGGACAATATGAATGAACACAGGGGATATTACATTAGATAAACCAGGCATCAAAATGCGCAAATTACTAGACCTCACTCATACATAAAGTCTAAAGCTTTTGATCTCACTGAAGCTGAGAATGGAATGGCAGCTGCTGGTGGTTTGGGTAGTTATCACAGGTTGGGGTAATGGTGGCCAAAGACACAGGTTAGAAATGAGGAGCGAGTTCAAGAGAGCTACTGTACAGTGTGGTGATTATAGTTAATAGCTTCATTCTTGAAAAATGCAGGGAGAATAAAGTGTTATGGGTGCAAAAGCTTTAAGTGTTGTGTTTACCCACACAATGTATGTCACAACCATACACTGCACAGTCACTGCAGTCTGTAGGAACGGCCCAGATGGCAGCAGCCCTACGATATCCTGTCACCGAGGGATGTCTCAGTTTCTGTCTTGGTTTCCACAGACACGGTCTGTGGCGCTGGCATGACAGCAAAGTCACCTAACAGCATGTGTCTCCGATCATGTCCCCATTGATAAGCAATCCGTGACTTCTACTTCAAAAGATGTTGCACATGCAGTCTATCTGTGATGTAGAAAACCAATTCGAATTTTAAAATAAGAGGAAAAAAGAAACAGAACATGAAAATACAAACACAGAATTGTATTTTAATACAATGCAAGTATTTTATTTTATTTATTTTTAAAATAATTTTATTGAGAAACAAATAGCCATGAGACAGTTTCAAAATCGATTAGTAGGACAGTTTTAATAATCAATACATTGCATATTGTCTTAGTGGTTAAAACTTGATGACTTCAAATCTTTTTTTTTTTTTGGCGGAACTGGGGATGAACTCAGGCCCTTGCACTTGCCAGGCAAGCGCTTATTCTACTGAGCTATCTCCCCAGCCCCAACACAAAGTATTTTAAAAGACTAAATTAAACAACAAATATAATATGAAGAAGTGCAGACTAATTTTATAATGGAACCGAATTAAATTTATTTGATTTGTTTTATACTTGATCTGAAACAATGAAAGATGTCTTTAGTGTCTTTCCTGATTTGTGAATCTGTCTTTAAACAATATTTCCCATTATTAAAAATCTTTATGGGTCAGTGGAATAGCACAAGGGGCTAAGGACCTGTTTAGGCAAGCGCAGGACCTGGGGTTCGATCCCTGACATCACATGGCGTGTGAGTCCCGCTCCTGGGCATGCTGAGCAAGCCACTGAGATGGGGCACGGTGGCCTATGCCTGTATTCCCTGTGCTGGGGAGGCTTAAAACAGGAGGATCACTAGGAGTCTGAGCTGCACAGTGAGACCCTCTACCAAATACATTTTTTTAAAAAGGGTTTTTTAAAAAATTCTACGCTTTGTGGTAATATTTTTCTTTGCCACCATTTTCCCAAATAGCCTGTTATTTAATCATTTCAAGGGGTCTTTCTAAATATGTTTGTTTTATCAAATTATAATTTATTAGAACATAATATTTTAAAGGCAGCATTGCTGATGGGTTTTGGTCTTGTCTGCTTTTATTCCACGCCAACGAAGATTTCAGATCTAGCGCTCCCTACCTCGGGTCCAGCACTGCCACGTGCGCAGCTTGTGCTCTGGAGGGCTCTGCGCTGGGGCCAAGGCAGCTCGGGCAACAGAAGCTTTCCTTCATCAGTACTTCGTCTTCCTTATGCTGGGAATGATCGAGACACAGAGCACTGGCAAAATAGTGGTGTCTCTCCTTTGAAAAGTTAGGGTCGTGCATGGGCAGGAGGTGGTATTGCTCTGGAATGCTCCATCACTGGTTGAATATTTGACCTCAAGATTTAAATCATTCAGAAATAAGTAGATTGCTCCAGCGGAAGTAATATGTTTAAGCCTACTTTTAAGTATTGCTTTTTAGTAATACTTCATTACTTAAAAATATTGCAGAATAGCTGAACTAGCATTATAATCACAACCTACAAGAGACCCTTCATTCTGTTTCTTTAAACAATAACAGGATATGACAGATGACCTCGATCACTACACCAACACTTACCAAGTGTACTCCAAGGATCCCCGAAACGCTCGGGAATTCCTTGCCTCCCCTGATGTCATCAACTGGAAACAACATCTCCAAATTCAAAGTGAGTAAATGACTGGGTAAGGGCCAGCCCGCGTTTGTGTGCTGAGAAAGCGGCAGGTGAGCTGGCTTCCGCCCTCCAGCTCAGCCCCTCAGCCCGCTGTCCTGCTGTGCATCTAGACCTGCAAAGGAGAAAACAGTAGTCAATTACTGCGAAGACCGCGTGGCCCACCTCGCAGCTGTATTCAGGATTCTTAGTGTGATGGGTGCCAGCGGCAGAGCTTTGTCCCTACCCCTTCCTGGACCACGAGTGGCAGTTCAGTGTGACCTAAAACACCTCACAGATCACCAGGAGTGATGTCATGGCCATGAGCCTGCGTTCTTGGGGTCAGCCACTTGAGGGTGGCACATGCCGCCTCTTCTGTGTGTGACCCTAGCAACGTGACTTAGCCTCTCTCAGATCGTGTTCCTCACACATAAGCATGAGAATAGCAATAGTGCCAGGACTCTGCAAAGATTAGTTTTGAATAAGAAGAGCTTTGTACAAAGCTGGAGTGTGTCTACTGACTTTCGCGGCATAGCAAACCTCATTATTAAGCCAATCCCCCTTCAGGGCTCATCTCTGCAAGGTGGGTGTTCTGATGGGAGAACCCCACGCTCGCTCCCTCAGCTCGACCTCACATACCTGGAGGATGGCTCTGGAGTTGGTGAGTGTTGGCTGCTTCTGGAGATGGCCACATTACAGCAGCTTGTGCCACCAGAGAGCCAGCCTGGGTCAGTGTTTCTGATGTTAGTCTTGAAATAATCGGGAGCAAAGAGACAGCCCTGAGGTACAAGCACCATCAGTCCTCTTCTTGCCCTGAATTTGCTCTTTCCACTGGCGAATGCAAATCACATAGCCAAAGCCAGGACCAGGGGTAGGAAAGTGAAGGACTGCTCCAGGGAACGGGCACCAGGAGCTGTGGTCTTATCGGGATCCATTCCTGCGAGAGTCTGTCATACTGCAGTTAGCGCTCGGCAGGTGTTGGCTACAGGTTTTTATATCTCATTACCTTTAATTCTCAAAACTACATGATTATGTGGTCGAGAAAACTTAGCTGCAGTCTTAGTACAGCCACTGTGAACATGACCATGAATGTCTTCAGGCCTGAATATGCTTTCATTTACATAAATCAGAAAATTATCCAAATCTCCCCAGGAGACTATCCACCCAACAGCAGACAGCACACAGAGCTGGCGCGTTCTGGTCCACCCCGCTGCCCTGCGCATGTTCCCCTAGAATGCACTTAGCGCTATCTTGTCTCTTTGTAATGTGTCTAGGTTCCCAATCAGGCCTGAATGAGGTGATACAAAGTCTTGCGGCCACTAACTCCTGCCAAGTCCAACACTCAGAAAACTTCCTCTATCTGGCGTCTCAGACAGCTAAGAAACTGGCCCCTTCCCTGCTGGATGAAAAGAATCTGGCCCCGAGTGGCGGCAAACCCAAGGCCATGTGAGTCTGAGACCTTCCTCCGTCCTGCTCCACCTCTCCATCGAAGCGATCTCCCTCCTTCTCCCCGTGCTTGTGCCTTAGCCCCCCACAATGTGTCCTAGAGCACTCAGATTAATATTTTTTAAGTGTAACTCAGACCATGTCTCCATCTGCTAAAAAGAAGGCCCCGTGTCCCGTCTTACTACAAATAAATGGGATCCTCTTCTCCCACGTTGGCCTCCCCCGCCACCCAGTACGCTGGCTTTCCTTCTGGTCCCCCTCATGGCTCCTGCGCTTTGCCACTGCCATTGCCTGGCCTGGGTGCGCAGCGGAGAGAGCACACGCATATCATTGTACTTACAGCTTCTATTTCTTCTTTCCTCTCCACAGCAACCAAGAGCTATTTAAACTCTCATCCCTGGATGTCACCCAGTCTACCTTTTTGAACAAATTTTGGTTGTTTGGCGGCAATGCGAGGAGCCAGAGGTTCATCGAGCGCTGTATCCAGAGCTTCCCGAGCTTCTGCCTGCTGGGGCCTGAGGGGTCACTGGTGTCCTGGTCCCTGATGGACCAGACTGGAGAAACGCGGATTGCAGGCACCTTGCCCGAGTACCGGAGCCAGGGCCTCGTCTCCTACGTCGTGTACGTGCAGGGCCAGGCCATGGACAAGCTCGGCTTTCCGGTCTACTCTCACACAGACAAGAGCAACAAAGCCATGCAGAGGATGAGTGACACTCTGCACCACATCCCCATGCCCTGCGCATGGAACCAGTGGCACTGTGTTCCTCAGTGAGGCTGCGGTGTCAGGGGGCCTGGACAGTCCCTGGCGGTCGAAGAGAAGGAATAAACTGCAGTCAGCATGAGGGGGACGGCGCTCTTGGGCTCTGTGTGTGTGTGAATGCTCGGCCCCACTGCCTTGTTGGTGTGGTCAGATTACTCACGGACCTCCCTTAGGTAGCTCAGCATCACGTAGGTGTAGATCCTCCTGCATGGGCCTGTGGAGTTGAGCTCCCTGCACTGCTAGGAACTCGGCGACCTTCCCTCCTCAGCTACACACTGCTCAGATTGTCTCTGGAGCTCAGAGCATGGGTTGGGAGACTCTCACGACCTGGCTGCTAAGTAGGAGACAAGTTTCTCATTCCTAATTCATCTTTCCTCTTTCCCGTGCTCAGTGAGAGGACTCTTACCACTATGTAGCGCTTCATCCGGGGCTATGCACACGTCAGTGTGTGTCACACACAAAGTCTGCGGGATATCAGGTTAAATGCAATATAGAGCAAGAGTTGTTATTAGTGGTGTATGTTCTTTACCAACTCCTGCTCCAGGGAAAATAATCCAGTGTCCCTTCAGAAGGCTGATCTGTGAAATTTGGGCTTTTGTCTCATGGAAGAAGCCATTATGGGGACAAAGAAAGAGCTGTTCTTGTGGGTTGCAACAGGCAACCTGGGACAGCCTCTGGCCTACCACTTAAGGGCAGTGACACTCACTGCCGGTCCTGGGCAGCAGACAGAGGGCTGTAATGGAGACTGTTGTGTGAAGAGCACGTTGCCTTCTGATCCATCTCAGCCTAGAATCACACTGGGAGGCTGGAGGGAAGTCCTACCCTTACCCACTCATGTGGAAAATAATGACCAGGGCTTAATTTTCCTGGATAGCCAGGAGCCTAGAGGGCCGGGTTAGAGTGAAGCTGCCCAATCCTGGCACGGTGGGAGCTTTGGACTCTGGTTCTTCATTCTGTGAGCTGTCTGGTGCATGAGGGCCCTGCCACCATCCTTGGCGGCTGCCTGCTCTGTTCTGGTAGCATCCTCCAGCCCAGACCACACCTCCTTCTTCATGCCACATTCTCCATGCCCGCTGCTCAGCAGCAGCGGGGCTCCCAAGCCACTGGGCCAGGGGCTCCTTGGCAGCATTCCTGCTCGGCCACTTGTATTCTTGCCATCACTGAAGTTCTTTTTGAGGAAGAGGCTGGGATGAGGCACATGCACGGTGCCTTCCACCTACTCTGCTTCTGTATCTCCTGTGGCTTTGGCAATGACAGGAAATAGAGCACACCCCTGTCCTGCAGGCAGCCACACTCTCCAGGTGAGCTAAGCTCTCCATAAATACTGTTGTTGGCGGGGCTGGGGGACAGCAAGACGGCAGCTTCAGCATGCAAGGTTCTGGGTGCAGCGTTTAATACTGCAGCATTGCAGAGTGGTGAGAGGACTGTTAGTCACGCAGAGGGGTCTGGGGATCGAAGGCTGCCATTGCTATGAGGTCCAAGGAAGGCTGCCCTTCTCCCTGCAGAGATCCCCGTGGTGAGGGGGGTGGAGGGAGGTGGGAGGCAGGGTCATTGTGACTCTGGACTAGAGGACTCAGACAAGGAGCAGGCTCTTGAGAGCTGTGTGTGGAAAGAAACCTCAAGACATTCGAGAGATGAAGGGGACAGTGAGATGTGACAGTACATGGACACCACTCTGTGCTTCTACACTGCGGCCTTCAGAATGGCTCTTCAGGAGCGGCCTGCGGTCCAGATTTCCAAAGGGAGTAAAGCGTTGCCAGACCCAGATCGCCTGAGTCGTGTTCTCTGTCCACACTGACATGCACAGTGTGCTTTTATGACAGATTAGCTGGTTTCCTCGTGGAATTCCTTCTCTGTGGAGCTGCAAGCTATACTTTTATTTACAGCTATTGTCTACTAAGCTATAAGTTATCCATAGTTTCTTTTGCTTTTGGGGTTGTATCCGAGGTCCTGGAATTCTCACCTATGTTTTTTTCTAGCAGCCTTATGGTTCCGAGTCTTATACACTGGTCACAGCTACATTTCTCGCTCACGTACGGCTGACGGAGGAATTCGCCATCCTCCTTGGCACATGGGTTCCACTTGTCCCAGAACCACTTGTTGCAGAGAACCTCCTTTCCCCACTGAATGAACCTGACGTACGTTCAGCCATCCACCAAAGGACGGGTTCTTTTTTGCTGAGCATTTAATTTTGTTCACGATTATAATTACTTTGACTTCATAAAAATTTGGAAATGAATCCCCAGCCAGCAGTGCCAGCCCTGCCCCTGGGGCACGCTGAGACAGCGATTGAGACTGGGCGTGGTGGTGCACGCCTGTAATCCCAGGGCTTGGGAAGCTGAAAACAGGAGAATCACTACAAGTCCGATCTGTGTAGTGAGACCCTGTAGACCCTGCACTAAAATACA